AAACAGTTTTATGTGGGGAGAGACATCTACCAAGGTTTTGAGAGATTGAAGAAGGTCATGACAACGGTACTTGTCCTAGCCCAACTAGATTTCATCTAGTCTTTGTGATAGAAATAGAAGCATCAGGGTATCGATTGGGGGTTGCGCTCATGCAGAATCAGAAGCCCATAGCTTACTTCAACCAGGTGTTGACTACAAGAGCTAGACTGAAGTCAATCTATGAGAGGGCGTTGGTGACCATTGTGTTGGCCATTCAAAAGTGGGCGACCTTACTCGTTGGGTTAACATTTCATCATTAGAACAGACCAACGAAACTTGAAGCACCTGCTAGAGCAAAGGATGATAACCGAGGAGCGCTAGAGGCAGCTATCAAAGCTTTTTAGGATATGATTTTGAGATCCACTATAGGCCAGGGCTAAAGAACAAGGCAGTTGATGGTTTGTCTAGATGCATGCGAGAGTTCTATAAGTTGGCTATTTCGGAACACTAATGTTGGATTGGGGGGTTATTAAGGAGGAGAGTGTTCAAGATCAGGAGTTGAAGGGGATTAGGGTAGATCTGCTGAGGGATGAGAGTAGCCCGGGGATTAGGGTAGATCTGCTGAGGGATGAGAGTAGCCACCCTAGCTATTCCCTAGAAGGGGAGAGACTGATGTATCAGGGAAGATTTTTGTTGCCACGAACCGCGGTTCATATTCCCCACCTTCTACAAGAGTTCCATGGGAGCATGGTTTGGGACCATTCAGAAGTGAAGAAGGCATACAGGAGGTTGGTTGCGGACTTGTATTGGAAGAGGATACATAAGGATGTGGAGGAGAAGGTGGCTAAACGTGAGGTGTTCCAGAGGATCAAATACATGGCTATGACTCCATGAGGGTTGCTACAACCTCTAACTCTTCCATACATGGTGTAGGAGGAAGCCACCATGTATTTTAATAATGGGCAATCCAAGTTTAAGGGGTATACAATAATTTTGGTGGTGGTGGACAGATTGAGCAATTATGCTTATTTTATTCCCTTATGACATATGCACACAATAGTGACAGTGGCAACAACATTTATCAGAGAGTTGGTCAAATTATATGGGATACTGGATTCGATAGTGTCCAACCGAGATGAGGTATTTTTCAGTCATTTTTGGAGAGAACTGTTCAAGATGCAGGGGACAGTTTTGAAGAATAGCACCACTTACCACTCCCAGACAGACAGACCAACGGAGGTGGTAAACAGGATCTTAGAGACTTACTTACATTGTTTTATTTTAGAAACACCTTGGTTGTGGGCCAACTATCTAGCAAGGGCAGAGTATTGGTACAACACTTCATATAATTCAGCTTCACGGATGACTCCATTCAAAGTATTGTATGCGAGGTACCCATCTTACTTGGTGCATTTTGGGCAAAGTAGCACACTAGTCTCATCAGTGGAACAATACTTGAAGGAGAGGGATATGATGTAGGCTAAATTAAAAAGGTATTTGTTGAGGGCTCAGTAAATCATAAAAAAACAGACGGATGGATGCAGGAAGGACATACAAATTGAGGTAGGAAATATGGTATACTTGAAGCATAGTCCCTACAGACAAAGGATGATAGCTATTAGGAGAAATGAGAAGCTGGCCCCGAGATACTTTGGCCCCTATGAGATAATTGAGAGGATTGGAATAGTGGCTTATTGATTGAAGCTACCCCCGATAGCTACTATACATCCGATGTTCCTATGTGTCCCAATTGAGGAGAGCTCTTGGTGATCATGCATCAAGTTCAGAGTTACCTGTGACACTAAATGTAGATTTGAAGATTGTGTTGGAACTTACGATTAAAAAGGCGGAAGAGGCGTACGCACTGAGATGCGACTTAAGGCGAGGCGAAGCATTTGCGCGTTGAGGCTTACGCCTCGTTGGATTCGGCGGAGCGTGCGCTTATTTCGCACGGGGCGTAGGCTTCGGTTCGTAACGCCTCGAAGCGAAACGAGGCACCGCTTCGATTTGTAAGTATATAGACCGAGCGGTGAGAGTCGTATAAGAGTCGAGTATTAGGATAACATACCTGCTTCTGCTTCGGGTGAGAACTGAAAGGCGAACTCCGCCAACTTGGACGACCACAGTTCGGTCAAGTTCGAACATAGCTGGAGGCGATCAAAGGTAACGATTTATTTCTTCTTCTTCTCTTGCTTCCCATAATCTTCCCGTCATTTGCTTCATGTCTCGCTTCTTCTTCTCCAGCTTCTTGTAATCGAAGGTTTTTTTTTCACGGCTAGGAAACGATCTTTCTTCCCGTTATTTGCTTCATGTCTCACTTCATCAGATTGTACATGCTCGGTTTCGCTCAGTACATGCTCGATACCGCTTAGTACCAGCTCGGTACCGAGCCAGTACCGCTCGGTACCGAGCCAGTACCGCTCGTTACCGAGCAGTACACGCTCGGTACACGCTCGGTACTGAGCGGTACATGCACGGTACGCTCGGTATTGAGCATATATAACAAGCAGAATTTAAAAATTATTCTTATAATATAATTTTGTTCCGGGGGCGCTGCATATTGTACCGGGCAGGTCGAAACCCGCCAGGGGGGACCCCCGGCAGACTGGTATATTTTTGTATTCATGTTGTTTTATTATTGGTATTTGGTAGTACAAATAATTGTTAAAATATATCATATTGTTAGCATGACTAGTGGCACAAGAAGGAAAGATCCTGCATGGAAATACGGAACTCAAGTTGAAGTGTCAGGCGAAGGTGCAAAAAAGGGATATGTTTACATGAAATGTAATTTCTGTGAGAAACGCATAACTGGTGGCGTCAAGAGATTGAAGAATCATCTAGCCTGCACTCATGTCAATGTGGGACCATGTGCAAAAGTTTCTGATGAAGTGAAGAAGGAATGTACAAATTATTTAAAGAAGTTTGCCACCACAAAGGAGGTCACACAAAGAAATATGGAAGAGCTGATAGGAAACTCTTCTTACACCTCGAGGCTTATGCCTCGCCTCGCTTAGAAAAAACGCCTCGATTCCCGATTTCGCCTTTTAAAACCGTGGGAACCATTGGAGTTGGAAGGGCTACGGCATGTAGAGTGAGTGATCAAGGAAGTGCTAATAAAATAGAAGAACCTACCAGACTATGATGCCATGTGGGAGTTGCATGAGAGGGTGAAGCAGAAGTTGCCATATTTCCACCTTGAGGGCAAGGTGGGTCTTTGGGAGGGGGGTATTGTTAGACCGGCCCCTCGTGGGCTGGGCATATTTGGGCCAATCCACCCTGGACAGGCTAGGGTGTATTCCAGGCGGAAGCTTGGTCATCCTCAACACTCTTTTTCCCCCATTAGGATGGGGCCTATGGATTAATGCAAAGGGAGGGGGCAGCTAGGAGGGAAATTCAAATTGGGAGGGTTTTTTGGGTATTTGTTGGATATTGTATGCTTTAAGTAGTTTTGTTAAACCAATGGTTGAATTATGGGATATTTGGCTGAAATTAGTAATCCTAAGGTTGAGTGGGCTCTAGCCGACGGCTAGGGCTTTGGAAGGGCGAGATCTTCCTCTCAAATTGAAAATCTATTGTGTCTTGTTTGTTTTCTTTAATATATCATCAATTAAAAAGGTTTTCTCTAGTTATTCCTCATAGTTGTTCTTGTTGATTGCTCTTGGAGTTGCTTAAATTAAAATTTAGCCAAGGGTTCATTTGATTTCTACAAGCACTTCCTATGAATTTTCAGAAAACTAACTGGATTATGATAATATACTATCAGAGATTTTTCCCTCGTTTTGCATGGATTTTATAATCTAGTTCTATATTTTCCATAAGCACAAGCCCCTGTGGTTAAATACCCTTCCAATTAAGGCTAGTCATTAGGCATTAATGCTTAGTGTGTAGTAGCAACAATTTTACATTTGGGATTTAGAAAATTTATCACTTTTAGCTTAAAGTGAGTCGAGGGAATAATAATGAACCCAAAAAGAATTCTATGGTTTCATCATCTCGGGTTATCATGATCCCTGTTCTACTTCGTCAATAGAGGTATACTACCCAATCTAACCAAAGGATTCTTATTATTAGTTACGAATTGCATCAACCAAGTGAACCTTATAAATCTAAGATGAACGTTTGCCAAACCGAATAATTTTAATTAGCATTAGCTAAAAAATAATTTGTGTCCTATATATATATATATATATATATATATATTTATTGAAGTAATAGTGATAAAGATGGTCCCGACTTTATAGAATCAAAACTCCATCCCACTTATTATCTATCATTCAAAGCTTTAACCTCAATGGTTAGAGGAACTGTGTGCACGAGAGCAGTGCCACAAAAATTCCTTTCAAGAACCTACAAGTTGAGGAAAGTAAGAAAATGATAGAAGAACAAGGGAAGGCGAAACAGTAGCAATGATGATAATAAGATTGGATGAAGGAAAGAAAAAAATAGAATGATACAAGAAATCAAAGAAAATAGAGAGAACATAGATAATATGCAAGAATAACAAACAATTTGTACTTTCAAGTATGATATCATTACAAACAATGAAAGAAATCAACTTCTTATACAAATTATGGTCCATATGACACCAAAATTGAGAATATTAAGCATTAAAGACACTTCGTCAATTACCTTTAAAATTGTTTCAAGTGATACAATAGATATTCTATAGGGCCTAAGATGGTGTGGTGGCATAATCATCTTATGAATTTTAATGTACTTTCAGCCATTACAACTGCCAATACTTGGGAAAATGTGAAAAAATATAAATCCCAGATCCACTTTCTAGAAGGTGTCACCTATGTTGCTTTACACATGAGCCCATGCACTACTCAAATAAGTGCCTTCTTGCATATCCCAGAAAAATGCTTAGACATAATATGGAGAATGCAAGAAAATCAACCACACTAACATCACAATCACCACAATAACGAGTAGTAGATAAGTCTATAGAGAGGATTAGCACAATCCTTCCTGGAATGACAACAATGCAGCATTCTTTGCTAGAGGAACTTGCTTACCGTTCGACTAGACAGAACAACTGAAACTGGATGGCCAACAAATTTAATAAAAGCCTCCTGCAAAAGAAAACCAAGTCACAGCTTGGGAAAAGACATTAGAGATTTAAAGGAGAAAGGTGTAAAAAGTGAAAATATACAATTACTGTAAAACAAATAACGCTTGCTTTCATACATGCATTTCCCTCACCTTGGCTGAAAAAATACAATATTAAGGTTAATCTAGACCAATAATATGCCTATAAATACTCATCATCTAAAGATGCATATTTGGGCAGGTTTGCATCTCCAAATAACAAAAATATCCATTCACCATCAAGGAAAGGAAATTTTAAAATTTGTTCATCCACATTTTAAGGTTCTTCTCAGATGCTTCACAAACAAGCTGCTTATCAAACGCTGAAATTACAATTTGATTTGGTCAGATTCACCAAGAATTGAGTTTGTATTAACACTAACATTATCAACACCTGGTCCTTTGTTGGTCCAAATTGCAAGGTTCTCATAGATGTAAGAAGTTCGAGGTTACCCAACACCCAAGCCTTCAAATCTGCAGTCTTTGGACTTGTTTATATTACTGCTCTCTTTATTTTAAAAAATGCATTAATTTTAAAAAAAGGAAATATTTAAAGTATCTCAGATAGTATTCAACATATTAAAGCAAGGTTTCTGTGCTTGTTTAGTTCTAGTCATGAGCTCAGATTTTGTTTATTTGCATGTCAATTTATTTTATCACATAATCATCGACAACAAAAACCACTCTCTCTCAACTGTTTGAAGCGTGTTTTATGAATCTTCATGATTATTCATTTTTTATGAATGTTGCAAGGGGTGTTAAAAATATTTTTTTACAAATATTTTTGTGCTGCTTACAACCAAATAAACTTTGGTTTATACTTATTATTTCCAAATCATTTCATATTAAATTTATCTTCAATGAAAAAATAGCGGAGCCATAAAATGTTTTTGGTAGGGGCCTAAATTTATTTGATAAACTTTTCCACAATTTTTGCATTCGGGCTTGAACCAGCATAGGTAGTTTTAAACACTAGCCATAATTAATTTATCCAAATTTGCAAATCATTTATAAATCAGATAAATACTAATTATGGTATATTAAATTTTAAAAAACAAAGTTATGATTCAGGCTTTTCTTAGATTCTGCATTTATTTTCAACTTCTATAACATCTATTTATTTATAAAATATATGATACTAATAACTGGACTGAATTGATTTTAAAATTGACATACACAAAGTGAAAGAAGCTCACAGTTACCATCCACTAAGATTTACTACACTTTTATATTTATAGATTGGTATGCAATGCCATAGATATTGTTTGGTTCACCATCATGCTGTTTATTGGACTATTGGATCTATAGGTAGGCTTCAACATAGTGTGCTTTATTGACAGGTGGCCATAAAGGTACAATAGTTTTCATACAAACCATGAAGTCCCTACAATTGCCTACCCCATATGTCCAGAGTTTCTTTTCTTTATTTTAAATCCTCAATTAGACGTTGTATTTTTTTGAGGGGGGAAATGTGCCCCCGTTGCCCCCCTTGTATCCACCCGTGCTTCTATCCTCTTTACGCATGCTCAAATCAATTTTGTCAATTTTCCCAATTTGTTTTCAATGAATACTACTCCAACCCCAGTATTATAAAAATTCTCAAGCTAACACTAGTGTCACACAACCATCTTAATTAAATGCATTTACCTAAGTTAATTTGACAGAATTTCTCAGTTAAATTTTTGGGAGCTTGAGAAAAAATAAATGCGCCTACTGACAATTCCAAAGAGAACGCTGCTCGAACATCGATTAGTATGCCAATAAGTTAAACGAAAACAAAGTAGATTAGGCTCAGCTTTTCCGTCTTACCCCTTCATCCTCAAATATTTCACCATAGTAAAGGTCCATTTGGAGGATGAAAGCCGGAACAAAGAAAAAGTTTCAAATCGCCCAATAGGACGATACCTCAAGGACGCCAGCAACAGTTCGGCAGTTTGGTTGCTTCTGCGATCCAAAGAACCTGGTTCCAATATACTCGACAGCAACGAGGTATCTCTGCAACCTAGGGTTCTGGCTCATTCCGTGAGTTCCCTGTTCCAGCAACTCGTGCTGCTGCGCCTCCTTATCCGAGCCTTCAGCGTCTTCTCCGCCTTCATAAATTTTTGCAACCTTTGAGGGCTCCCCCGATGCCAATGGTATGTCGAGAGGGCGCTTCGCCGTATCCGTCTCAAGGGTCAGCGGCATTACTTGGATCGGCAACCGCCTGACTTCTGTCAAGGATCTAATTTGCGAGGAAGCTAACAAATGAGGGATAAACAAAATTTGAGTAGCTTTAATTTTTGTTTAAGGGGACAAAGCTCTTGTATTGATAAAAAAGGAAATTACATGTGTCCTACTATACAAAAATGATTATAGATGAGCAAGTTTTCGTGAACCCAAAAAAGAAAACTAGTAACCCAAAAAAGAAACTCATCATAGAAAAATGTGAGGGACATAAAACCAAAAAGCCAAAAGCCAATATGCAAGGACTCAGAAAATATAAATTTGATATCAGTTGGACAAAGCAGTCGAAAAAGTAGTCACCCTTGGTAACAAGGAGACCCTCCAAAGGGGTGAGAGTATGGAATTATGGGATGTTCATCATCGTGCTTGGCAAAGTAAAAATCCCCCCAGATTATACGATAACATCATTTTCTTTACTCGATAATAGGCAACCCATAAGAACCAGCACTATGAAAGCAACAACTATGTCATCGTATCCAACCAATAACACAGCATCCAGTAATAATACTCCCAATATAACCATATTTATTTCCAACCAAACAAACTATAAAGCAAAGCAGCATGTTGAAGTACTAAAAAGATCTCAATGAAACACAACTTTCTTTGATAATATCTACATGCTTCCATTTGGACAATTTCTGATAAATTGGCCACAATATTTGGGAGCAAATGGTAGAGATCTTCCCAAAATTGGAATTAAAACACCTTTCATTTCTTTCCCTCCAAATAGAATAAGCAGAGCAGCACATAGTCATAAAGTTATATTTTTTGGTCTTTCATAGTTATAGACATCTCTTCCACAAAGTCTAATACCTGAATTAGGTTCAACCTCATCAAAAGATTTCCTAAACCAGGTAAAAAATTTTTAAGAACAACGAAGGAATAGTCGCATTCAAAAAGGTGGGTTTAGGCAGTTTTAGAATGTGTAAAGCAGAGAGGGCATTTTGAGTCAATAAAGACATTCCTTTTCAGCAGTGCATCCGTAGGTTTGAGGCCCCCTTGTATAGCAAGCTAAGCAAAACCCAAATATTTGAGTGCATGATGTTTATGCCATATAAGTTTAGACCAGTTGAAAGTGTGTTCTTCCTTATAAAAATCATTAATGAAGGTAATAAAGCATATTTTATTTTATGTTTCCATGAAATAGTAGCAGATTGTTCAGTGGTAATCGGAATGGACTTCAAAACATAAAACAAATTTCCATCCAAAAAAGCAGGCAATATGCAGGAGCTCCCAACAATAAAATAAGAAACCTTTGCCTTATTTGGGAAGATATAAGTAAGAGAGTCGCTTAAATGAGATGTCGTAATTGATGTACCATTAATCCAAGGATCTCAAAGGAGAGAAATCGTGATGTTTTGAGAAATAGAAAAGTTAAGATAGGTAGAAATACTCTCAACCACATTACTGATATTGGCCCAAAGCTTGGATGATTTTGAGTCATGAGGAGTCCAGGGGGAGCAGTACTTAGTACTCCACCTAGTAAAGAGAGGAGTGTGCATGTGGTAAAACCTGATAATTAGAGAGAAGTACTAAGCATAATGAAGAGCACTAAGGACGAGAAGCCCAAGACCCCAAAATTCTTTGGCTTGCAAGTTTTATGGTAGGATACAAGATTTTTTTTTTTTTTTTTTTTTTTTGCATTAATCTCTCCAAAGAAGAGAAATCTGGAGCACATTATACTCAAGCTTTTTAGGTAGGTTTTGGGTATAATTGATCCACAAATCCAGTACATAATAGTGTTCAAGATGGCATCTCTTAGAAATTGAAGATGGCCTGTAAAAGAAAGAAGCATAGCCTTCCAACCAACCATGTGGTTGGAGATATCATGCAAGAGGGGTTGGAATTCAGTAGTGCAAGTTTTCGTGGAAGATATTGGAAGGCCAAGATATGTCATCTTAGTGATATGTATTTGAATGTTGAGGGTAGAACAAATTTTTTTAGGGGAAGTAATGTAGTTAGATATGATAAGATTGCTTTTGTCATAATTAATAGATAAGCCAGAATAACTCGAAAAAGAGAACAAACCTCAAGTAGAACCTCACAATTATGTTTGGATGCAATACCAAAAACTAGTATGTCATCCACATGAATAAGATGGTTAAGATGGAAACCTTCACAAGAAAGAGCAATAAATCTAAGCAGGAGAAAGCATCCATAACAATGCAGAACATATAGGGGTTAAGTGGGAAGCCCTATACCAGGCCTGATGTAGAGTTAAAAAAAATCCCTCCAAAGCTCCATCAATGCAAATAAAAAATAGAAATATGAAATACAAGCTTTGACCCATGAAACAAAGAGACAAAGAGAGGAGAGAACCCTTTTTGAGCCATTTTAGCTAGGAAAAAGCTCCTAGAGATAGAAGTAAAAGCTTTACATATATCTAACTTAACACATAACAAATTTCTCTTAGCAGATATCTTGAATTCAAATAGTAATTTAGAAGCAAGAAGCACATTGTCAATAGATATTCGATTGTTAATGAAACAAACTTGATTTTCCTTAATAATAAAAGTCATAATTCCTTTCATTCTCGTGGCCAAAATTTTAGAAATTATCTTATAAAAAACATTGTAGAGAGATATTGACATGAAATTAAAGACATTACTTGCTTGAGAAGTCTTAGGATTGAGAGAGATAACAATAGCTTTCACTTTTCGAGGGAGATAACATTTAGAGAAAAGAGACTTGACTGCTTTAAAGGCTAGCAACCCAACAATCAACCACCTTATTTAAAAACTATAAAGTTATAACCATCAAAACCTAGTGTAGAAATTGAGTCTTTACTAAAAATAGTAGATTTAATTAAAAAAATGTCAAATAGGGTCTTGAGATTTATGTCAAATTTGTTTGGGGATAAAATAAGGTCTTGAGATTTATGGGGAATAATCAGGTTAGCATAGGAGATGTCCTCTGTGGTTGATTTGAGGTTGGGTAGAGTGGCTGATGGGTTATCATTTGAGTGGGAAGGCAGTGTGGGTGATGATTGTGGGAGGTTGGGGGTTAAGGAAGATGTTGGTAGTGAAATGTAGTTTTTGAAGATTGGCTGGCGGCTGTGAAGCTTAACTGGTGGGTTCATTTGGATTAGGTTGTTGCGACTATGCATTAATAAATATGGTGAAAGGTTTCTTCGGTTTCCTACCCTTGCTTCTCCTACATGTGAGCTTGGGTGGTGGTTGGTGGAACTTGTGGCTTAATTAATAGGCAAAGATCTGTTGAGCGAACAAATGAACCATTCATATTGGATTTTTAGGTCATTAGGTTCCCCTATAATGGTGATAGGAATGAACTCTAGATATGCACAAGTTTTGGTCACTTTAATAGATACTCTGGCATTTATCAATCAAGTTTTTTTTAGTAGTCAAACTGTTAATGGCTAGGGGGTTCCGACTAGACTCGTAATGCAGGAAATACCCTCAGGAGTCCAAAAAGTTCATGGAATATCATATATTTTAAACCAAATGGGGGATGGATGTGAATTCTTCACATTTTGGCTTGAAGTTGAGAACCCATTTCTGGAGGACAAAAGGCTTCCCAAAGAAGAATAAAACTCCCTCTGACCAGGTTATTTCATAATCCTCATGCGACATAAGTTTAAGCATGAAAAATCAATAACTCAGTGAGACTAATTGCATCGTACCTTTCAACTTTCTGGACTTACAAATGGTCATAATTAGAGCTTTGTAATAAGGGTGGTGTCCAATGGAATAACCAATAAGATAAAGTCCTCATTCGTTGGCCGCAACTTTCACATTAACCTTTATAAAATCAAGAGGCCCTTCCTGAGAGGGGAAGGGCGAGAGCTTTCTTAAGGATTATTGGGAGAGGAAATAATGTTGCACCATTTTAAGGATATAGAAAAAGAAGGTGGTGGGTGATTTGAGAGTGGTGGGAAGTTAGTGGCAAATGAGACATTTGTCGTGATATGAAGAGGGGGCCCCACCATCCAAGCTGGAGGAGGAGGGGGATAGAGAGGAGGAACAAGTAAAGGCATCAGCTAGGCAGAGAAACCCTAGCAGAGCTTCAACAAATTACTATTTTATCAACTATCTAACCTTGATAATATTAATAGTTGTAATTAATGTCATATTTCATTTCAAGGTAAATTAAATATAAAATGATTCATAAATTTTATTTGTTTTAATAACTTAAAACTCATTTAAATATGATAAATTTCAAATATACATAAAATTCATGGCCCATTATCCCACCCACTAGCTTTGTCACCATCCACCTAGTTGTATCTAAATTTATTCATGGATGCACTCAACCCAAATAGCAGGTCATTAAAGTTAGAGCTAGAGAATCAAGTAAGAAAAGTGATTATATATGGACAGTAAGTAAGAAGTTTTAGAATATTTGTAGAGAATTCTAATAACATAAAATTCAAAATTTATTTTTTCATCAATTATTTATAGGATTTGGAGGGCTACAAAGAAAGTCTACATTTAAAATATATAGAAAAAGAATGCATGAAATGATAATACAAATAGATACATATGTGTGGATTAAGATATGTAGTTCACATGTGTAGCTCTACCTTTAATGTAGTCCCTAGAGTCTATCCACCTAAGTTGCACAAGAAAGGCCCAAAGCCAATCTCACGGAATAGTAAAGCTCCAAAAGCTTCGTGTTCTCCCATCCCACAAGCAACCAAGACTTTAGGATCCGTACCTGGTACATCTTCTTTGGACATTCCTACTAAGCAGACTTATACCATAGAAGAGGAGCTTGGATATGCCCAAGCCTAGTCTAAGAAAAGTATTTGAGACATATAGAGGGTAACCTCAATAAGTGAAGACTAAGTGAGCCACTCTTGCAGGAGGTGATACACTACAAGAAAATCAGCATTTACCGGTGGTAATTACAGTAGTGATTGTATTAAGGGTGGATGAGATGCAACTTCCTAACTCCTAGAGTCATTACAATCAAGCCAGTTCTTGGATAGTGGATGATTTTTCCTGAGACATCTAATAAAGAGGGAGTAGTGCCTACAGGAACCCTTATTAGATCTATTGTATAGGTTTATTTTAGAGAGTGAATAAGCTCCCTCATAATGTAATCTATAA